AAAATAATGTTGCTTTAAAACATCTGGTCAGGTACACCCTGTTGCCTAGTTGAGGCTCATTGGTGACAGCTAGTGCAGTGTTGACAGGAGCTTCTCCTGGTCTGTGCTGAGTAAATTGCATCTAACAGCTTGGTATTAAAATAGGTCTAGGCTGAACTGATGGGTGCTTTTTTTTAACCTTATCTTTTTTTTCTTTCTATTTTTAGTTAAGCGAAGTCTATGCTGGGTAGGTTTTGAATCATTACATCACCTATCATAGCACAAGTCAAACTGATGAGTAGAATGCACTGGTAGAAATAGTAGAACATAGTAGAAATTTCCCCTGGCAACTCTACTAAAGCTTCACAAGTTAAGGATGTAGTATGTCCAGGTCAGCTCTAGGGGCTTCACTGGAAATTGTATATTTGCTTCTGTATTCATACATAAAATACCTATCCTGATTGAGCTGTATTCAGATATCTGGCAGTACTGGAGGAGATCTGGTAGACAAATCAGGGATTTGGACATCTAGTCACAATTACCAAGTATTCGAGTATCCAAAGAATCTGGAAAGTCAACAGAGAACAGTGTAGCAGAGGATTTTTTAATAGTTGTCATTAGAGAAAAGTCAAGTATGACAACTTACCTGTCTTGTCTGTCAGAGTTGATTTGTATTTATGTAAATTGCTGTAGTGTGTGTATTTTTTTATGTTTGTTTTTTAAGACATACCTGTTAAAAATTTTAAGGAGAATTTGTAAACCTCATGAATACTGCAATAACATTTTTTGCCAGTTTTGCTGATTTTGTTTATAGCCTGCTACTATTACTAGCTGGTTATTATGGCCTTTTCATTTAAAAACTGCTAAGGCTTCTTTGAATGCTGGAAGCGGAACTATAATGATGTTTCTGTATTAGTATTTGTTAGAACAAACATCTGTGGTGGTTTAACACCAGTAGGTAGCTAAGCACTGCCACGTTGCTCTCTCCTTACGCATTCTCAGAATGCTGGTGAGGAATTATGGAGTCAGCTCATGGGCTTCAGATAAGGACAGGGTGATCGCTCATCACTTATTGCAACAGGAAGAACATATTTGGCACAGGGAAGAACAATGTAATTTATTGCCTGTTGCTGACAGACCAGAGCAGTGAGAACTAAAGGCAATCTAAAAACACCTTCTACCTCCTCCCTCAAGTGATGCAGGAGAGTCAGTCTGTAATGCTTTGTCTCTGCCCCTGCTGCACATGGGTCCTTCCCACAGATACTGTTTTTCCCAGTCTGATCCCACATAGGCTTGCCACAGGGTGCAGCTCTCCAAGCACTGCTCCAACTCAACTCCATATCATGGGGCCCACCCTTCAGGCAATACTCTGTGTGTCCCAGCAGGTGGCAGCCCCTCCAGCCCTTCTGTACCACCACAGGCTCCTCTCCACAGTCTGTAGCTCGAGTCTGGGTCTCCATGGACTGTGGCTCCTTCATGCCACAGCCACTGATGCACCATGGCTTCACTCACCATGGTTGCACATGGAGATCTGTTTCACCAGGTGCCTGTTGGCTGAAGGACAGCTTGCTCCAGCATGGGCCTCCGCTGGGCTGCAGGGAACTGCTGCTCTGCACCTGGTGCTCTGCCTGCCCTTCTTCCATGCTGCCCTTGGTATCTGTAGAGCTGTTTCTCTTAAATTTTCACACTCCTCTCTCCCAGCTGCTGTTTCACAGCAGTTTTTTTTGTTTCTTAAATCTGTTCTCTCAGAGCATAACCAGTGTCACTCGTGGCTCAGCTCTTCTCAGGGGACCTGGTCCGTGTTGAAGCAGCTGGAGCTGGCTCTGATCTGCAATGGGGCAGTGCTGGGCTCTGCTCACAGAGGCCACAACTGCAGCTACCTGCTACCAAAACCTTGGCACATAAAAGCTCAATAGAGCATCATATCTAATTGAACTAAGTATCCAATGGATATAAAAAAGTATTTCTGCTCGTTGCTTTAAAAATACATTTAAAGAAAATGTAAGAATGTTCAAGAATGAATACTTAAAATTGCAAGTTCCTATGGAGTTTGATGCTTTACCTCTTTGTTTTCTCTGTGAGGTCGTGTTGACTGTCTAATAATTGCTGTGCAAGCAACATTGTTTAACAAAGCATTTTAAAACTATAAAAGATCACATCTGAGAGAAAAAAACAAACTGTGACTGATAAGTTGCAAGAAACTGCAACTTGGGAAAGTTAGTTTTCGTGGAATTAAAAAAAGTAGTATAGAACTTCACAGCAGATCTCAGTTATGTAAAGTAACAGGCTTTGAAATTTCTCTTTAGATGTTTTCACGTACTTTGGGAGTTGAGCTGTAGGTCTTGTAAGAAGTGGAAGGGGACAACTCTTGATTGAAAGATTTCTGATGGTGAAGAGTTTAACACGTTGCTTAGTAAAGGTTTGCAGTTAAAGAAAAACAAAAACAACCGTGTTTTTAGTTTGAATATGTGTAAGTTAACATCTATTAGATTTTGCATTTTCATCTCTTAGTTTGTTTTGCCTTATACATACATAAATATGTAAAGCAGTACATACAGAGTCAGAATTGTTATCTGTTTTTGTGCTACTGTAACATAAAGTGCTCTTTGATTCAGTGTTTTTATTTTTGTTGCAACTCAATGTTGAAATGATCTGAAAAAGGATTAGAAAAGTAGTGAAAAGACATATTTCACTGATTTATAAAAAAAAAAAAAAAAAGCATTCTTGACCGGCTTATTACCTCTTTGGAGGTACTCTTTGGTGAAAGTATTAGCATGAACATAATTAAGTTGATTAAATCATCTTAAGGTGTTCACTTTGAAGCATAAGTAAACAAAGTGGAAGATAGTGTAACAAATGAAGAATTAATGTTGGCATCAGTGATAGGCATCAGATGAGAGAGTGACAACTTGGTCAGAATATTATGTTTGGAAGTCAAGTGATATAATTTGTTTTTAAAAAAGGAAGTTCAAATTTAAGGTCTGGGAGTGGCCAGTATGATGAAGGTGGACCAAAAGTGAAGTGGTTTGAATTTGCCTTAGTGTTATTTTTAAGTTATTGTTGTGAATACTCAATTTAAATTCTGCGTCATTGTGAAAAACTTCACAGTGCATGAAACTTAATTTAAGAATTATCTTCTTCGGAAGCAATTTTTGAAGGAATTGTTCTGTTGTACTTATTTGAAAATATTTTTTTCAAGATTGTGTTCTTCATGAATAGTGCATTATTTTGTGCACTGGAGGAGGCTGCTGACACCGTGTTCTACTTTTTGTAATGGAGAGAGTGGAAACCTAGCTAAATGAAACCAAACTTACCTACAGAAGTTGTCAGAGATGCCTGCCTTTCTTAGCAGATTGTACAGAAAATTTGGGCAATTATATTAAACAGGTTTCTTCATATTACTCTGATTTTGCCTGTCTCCAATACTCTTTTTTGTAGTTTACCAACTAAAATTAGATACCAGGGTATATAATAAACAGTGTATTGGTTTCCAACCAATATAATTGTATTGTAGAGGCTTTTCTCTGCTTGCCTATCTCTTTTCTGAGGGGTTATTATTTTGTTACCAGTCTCCTAAATAACCTTGAAAGAGCTATTGATGTTGTTCATAAAATCAATGAGTTTGCAATGTTTAGTGGGTTCAGAAAAATATCATCTGAAGAGGAAAAAGGATGCCCTGTAGCATTTAATATGACTTGGTGAGCAGCCTGTCAGCTAAGACTAGAAAAGGAAAAAAGTATATATATAAAATCAATTTAAAATGACAAGGAATCCACACAAAAGTTCAGGGCATGCCTCAAGGTTCAGATGTTTCATACATCCTGCTGTGTGCTATATCCTCATAAGTTTAATAATGTAATCATTCCATAATAATAAATGCAAAGTGTATTTGTCCCGTACATTCACAATTTTTAAGACGACAGCAGTGAAATCATATTTTTTTTCCTTTTAGAAAATGTCGCAACTGCAGTTAGCATTCTGAAGTATTGCTTGGTGGCTGATGGCTGTGAAGCATCATGGTTCAGTATTAGGTCTGGGGACGCTGTAGTGTGTGGAGTACAGAAGGTGGTGTGTTGCAGCTCTGTTTATAATGAACTGTGATAAGCTGTGCTGCCAGCAGCCTTGTGAAAGAGAGAACGAGTTGAGGGTACTCAGTGATGTATTAAACACAGCTTTGTGTTAGGTGAGAGTGCCTAGATGTAGCCACTGCTCAGATTTTGAGGTGATCAGAAACTCTGTGTTATTTTTTTGTTACAGACGTGTACTCTGTATTTGGTTCATGTTCTGATTTGCTGTGTGGGCTTTGGATTTCTAAGGCAGAAAACTAAGTTTTACATGTGATATTCTGTTATTCTGTAAATAAAGGCAGTCCTAAAAATGATGATCAAAACTTAATTACTTGAAACTTTTACTTTTTAATGTACAAAGTAAATGAGATATAGCAATACATCTTGTCTCTAATTTGCACATCCTGCAGCAATACTGTTCATGACAGTATTGGTGCTCAATTTAGTTAACAGGTACAAGTTAAAACGTTGCTTATTCCTTTTACCAGTTCTGCAAAATAAAAGATAAGAAAATCAGTGGAAAAGAAAACAAACTACTTTAGTATAGTTTCCATTTTTATTTTTGAGATAGCATCTGTTGCTATGGGCAAACTTATTTGTGGTGTTTATAATGGAGAGATTGCAAAGTTTTCTTGTCTTGTTGAAGTGGTTTTTGTAAATCAGTTGCCTAGCTTAACATTAGTAAAAGTGAAGGTTTTAAAAAACAAATTCAATCACAGTGACATATCTGTTAGTCTTAGTTTATTTAGATAACTTTATGTGTAAGATACTGCAAAAGGAAAGTTTTGAACTCATAGTAAATCTCCCTTACATAACATTTGAAATTTTGTTGTTCTTGAAACCTAATAAAAATGGAAGAATATTTCAGTTTGAACATTGGAATCAATTAAAAATGGTAGATTTTTGTAAAGAAATGTACAGATGTTTAAGATTTGTTTTCATTTATTTTCACAGGCGGATCCAAAAGAACTGATTAAGATGGTAACGCAGCATGTTACTCAGTATGCCTATACAGACTGGCCTGAAGAAATTGCAACTTTGATAAATCAGTTGCACTACTACAATGAACGACTACTGGATTTCACACAGGCTCAGATTCTGCAAGGACTTGGCAAAGGAGTAGATGTGCAGAGGTTTACAGCAGATGGACAGTACAAGAGGGAAACGATACTAGGATTGGCAGAGTAAGTAAAGTCTATTAAGTTTTTAATTATTTGTTTTTAAATTGAGTTACTTTAAGCCTCAAAGCAGGAAAGTAAATTAAAAATGTTGCTGATGTTTAGATGGGATGATAAGTTACCAGTTCCTTTAGATGTTTACACTGTAACATGGCTACAACTGGGGTCTGGAAAAACTACTCCACTTAAATGAAACATTATTCAAACAATTGGATATGTAAATTTTAATGATAGAACTCTAACTTCATTTTTAGCAATCAGTAGACAAAAAGAAAATCAAGGATGTATGAAATCAGGGCGTCTGTTCTCTTCCTTTGATCTTCTCTAAACCCTTCTTTGAAATCTATTAGGATATGCTTAAGATTCAGTTTATGATGCACTGTAGCAAAAGAAACTAGAAAACTCTCAAACTTCAGCTTCTTATTGAGTTTAAGTTGTAATTAATTAAATTAATTTAACATTATAAATAAAATTTATAGTATTCTTACCAATTTGGTAGTTTTCGTATTCATTTGGGATTACTGAAATTTTCCCTGTGCATGTTTTTCTGATTTTCTAGAATGCTTTTGTCACATCTTTGTTGCCCATAATTGGAAAAAAAAAATAAAGCTGTAGAATAGTAATTTCTCTTTGTTTTAAAAATGCCTTCTATTAACCTCTGCATGCAACTTCTTCAAGCTGTGAGTGTTATAACTTTCATAGAAACATAGAATGGCTTGGGATGGAAGGGACCCCAAAGATCATTTAGTTCCAATCACCCTGCTGTGGGAGGGTTGTCAAGCACTGAATTTATTGAAATCTATATGTTTTGAAGGCAATTTCAGTTGAATGGCTGCTGGACTGGCGTAGAGTTAGTAAAAATGGAACTTTGTAGCATGTAGTTGAGTGGTACTTCATTAGGCAGTTGCAAAGATCTAATTAATTACTTTTTCAACTTGCAGCTTGCTTGCTTTAATCTTCTCTGTTGACTCCTAATCTGCATTTTGAGATGAAAACATTGTGCAAATTTAATAAAGCATTTTTTTTCTTGCTTATTTTTCGAATTATCATTAAGTGACTCATGTTTTGAATCTTTTATGAAATGCTATTTGCAGAAACAACACCTGGAAGAAATGGTACCTTATTTACAAAAAAAGACTTACACTAGAACAAACAATTTGTTTGCTAAAACTACTTAAATAACATCAGTATTATCTTCCAGGATTTGATGTATTCTCATTAGAACATCTTACACGTAATTTATTAAGCATTTAAAGATCCAGGTGCCTCACAACTTAATCAAGGTTAGTTTTTAACCGGTTTAGGGTTGGGGGGGGAGGGAGCAAAATATAGCAAGAATATATTAGAGAAAGAATAAGAGAAACTAGAGCAAGACTGAACGGAAATTCTGGAGTAATAAGTTGAAGTCCTCAGTAGTTTTAGGCCAACCACAGTGTATAAGCTTTCTAAATTATTTTTCAATTGAGGCCAGGCTTTTTCATTGTGGATTCCCCCCCCCCTCCATCCATCACTGCTTCTACTTCTGCTTAAATGCGTTAATCAGAAGTTGATTTTTATGCTTGAGTGTTCTGGATTAGACAACCTGTGCATTTATGATGCGATCAGAATTTCTCCATTGTTTGCCTTATTCTTGGCCAATTCTCTGAATGACTTTGGTGAGTACAAAACAGGTCCCATTCCAGAAAACTGAACCAGAAGGTCCTGTCCTCTTACAATCTGCTATGACTTTTAACAATTACTTTAGTTTCCGAGCCATTCTGTATAGTTTTGATGTACTTCTCTGTTACCAGTCTAAACATAGCTTTCTCTCCCTCATGCTTTGCTGCAGCAGAACTTATATAGCAGTAACCTTCCATTTTATTTTCCTGCTTCAAACATGAGATGAAAATAAAAGCTCTTGGCTTAAATCTTCATTTCACTTCTCCAGCTTAGATGATAATGTTGTTTTGGCTTTCTAAATCTGAGGGCAGGTGACTGGAAATGTCAATCTCATCTCATAATGATTGAATTCAGTATCGGTCGTAATGCTTTCTGTAGCTGACTGATGCATACAACAGTTGTGCATGCACCCATGCACACGTGTATAATACAATAGGGATCTAACAGAACAACAACAACGTGGTGGTGGAAAAGTATTCTGAGCTTCCAAATACCTATTTCTGGGAGCTTGAAGATGGTCATAAAAAATCCCAGCTGAGTAGTAATGCGCAGCTTATGTTCAGATGCTTTGTGTGTGCTGTGCATTGCTGTCACACAGAGAGGACAGCTAAGAATCATCCACAGCAGCTTCTCCTTTCTGTTTTTGTGTTAGTGCAGCATTGCATCAGGAAGTAAATCATAACAGTACCCTTCAGCAGGGATTTCTCTGGCAAGTTTCAAGCTTACAGTGGTGGACATTTAGTGCTGGGAATGAAGCTCAACTGTGGTGGAAAATTAGAGTGTGTTGTTGCTGTAAGAGCAGAAGAGACAGGAAGGTTGTTTTGTGTTTTCTTTTGCTGTAGTTATTTGAGTTCTTAAAGTTATTTCAGTAAATATTTATATAATGTGTTGTTAGATCATTAGGGGTGCAAAGAAGATCATGCCTTGTTTAGCGTAGTTTAAATTATGGTATAGATCTGCATTTCTGAATGACAAAACGAAAACAGGGTGGACATGAGGCATAATGGTGTATTTTTTTTTTCTTGCTTTCCTTTTGTTGCTATAAATGATCTGCAGTGATGGTACAGAAAACGTTGTGTCAAGAATTGTTCCCTCATACGATGTAACGAATCTAAGTAGGTGTAAAAGCCACTCAAGTTTATGGAGTAATTTTTTTTGTAACATAATTCTGTAGGAAAGTGGTGCTAATATCAATTTACAGACTTGTTTACTGACACTTGCTGTTATATTTTGTACTAGATTGGTCTTTTTCCTCCTTTCATCCTCCTTGATTTCTTAAACAAGAATCTAAAATGATATGGTCAGCAGTGTTCATAATTAAATAATAGATCTGGCATATAAGTGTAAGCAGTGTTTTTCTTGGAATTGTCTTGTGGTAGAAAAAAATTAGCATTTGCCATAATTGTTTTGCTTTGTTTCTGTAGCAACATAAAAACAGGAACCACGTGTATTTATGTGAATGATAATAGCTTCAGTGGGATTAGTAAAAATTAATACAAAGTTAACTTCAGGCTTTCATCTGTTAACAGATTGTTCAGTTAAAGGGATGTACAATAATGAAAAACTATTATTAGTATTTTTAGGACACTTAGAGTGTAACTGGACACCTTCACACTTTAAGCCTACAAATATTAGAAATGCTTCTTGTTGTGAACTTGCACATACCTACCTACCCGTTGTGCTAAAACACGTAATGTGTTGTGACTAAATCAAGTAAGAGCTGTGATACATTTGTTCACTTTTTATTTTGTAATCAAAATGAAAGCAAAACTTGAGTTCTTTTTGCTATAGCAAGAAGGTTAAGCAGAAACCCAACTGCCACTGAGAACGAAGGTGTGTATGGAGCAGTGCTCACCTTCAAAACACTTCTGTCTCTTGATATATTTTAATTTTTCTCCAAATAGAACAACATATAAAACAGATGCAAGAAAACATGCTTTGTGTGATTTTATTTAGTGATGATAAGAACTAATTTATTGGTTTTTGAGGAAAAAGGTTGACAAAAATCATTACTCTTGCAATGTAGATAATGATTTATTGTCATTTCTCTTGGAGCTTTGTGTAACTTTCCCTTGTTCTGTTTAATGTCTTTTTTCTATAAGAACACTTGAAGAAAATGTGTACAAGATTGCTGTTTCTCTGGCTCAGCGATACAGTGTTCCACTCTGGGAAGTTTATATGATACATCTGGAGTTTTTATTCACGGACAGTGGGTAAGTTTTCTTCCCTGCATATTTACGTAGAAGCCTGTTACACAGAAGTATGTCCTAACCCAAGAGAAAATGGCAGTATGTTGGGGGCAAACATAGGCTTGTGTTTTCATATTTCTTGCATTGTGACAGGTTATGGATTTGTTTTGTGTTTTCCATATGATGCTTTTGTAATCTGCCATAAAAATGTGTTATAAATGAGACTATGAGCTTTTTATTGTTCTTTTGAGTATCAAGTCTGTGATAGCAAAGTATATTATGTTTTTACAGTTCCTCGGAAAATGTTTCTTTAAAATATCATACCTCAGAACATTTCTTTTACAGAATCACAGAATGGCTTGGGTTGGAAGGGGCCTTAAATATAATCTATTCCAATCCCCCTGCGGTGGGCAGAGTTGCCAAATTGCTAGATCAGGCCGCCTAGGGTCATATACTGCCTTGCCTTGAAAATCTCCAGGGTTGGGGTATCCACAGCTTCTGTTCTAGTGCCTCACCACTCTCTGAGAGAAACATTCCCTTCTAACATCTAGTCTGAATCTCCCCTCTTTTAATTTAAAGCCATATCCCCTTGTCTTATCGCTATCAGACCATAAAAAAATTGATCTCCGTCATAAATATAAGCTCCTTCTATATTTGTTGAACTCTCCTAAACAATCACAAGCAAAATAGATTTTGGCCTCTCAGTCATGTTTTACATGTGTCCAAGTTCCTTTTTCCCTCTTCTTTTAAATGGAAATGATTTTCTACATTTTCTTGGCCGTTTTTCTAGACTACAAGCCTGCAGCCAGCCATACCTGGCATTGATATCAGTGAGATGCTTCTCTTTTTCATTCTACATTTAGTTCATGTCTTTTTTTTTTTTTCTTTTCAGACTTTGGTATCTTGTCAGTCACACAAGTACTGTAGCATATTCAAAGGGAAATAAACCTGCTCAGTGAAAGACCTGAAATAGTGCGTTTGGATGACAGTGATGTAGAGCCCCCTGTGCAATATAGCAGCTGTTACCTATTGTTCTGACAGACATAATGAAATTAGTTGGTTTCAAATTTTAAACTGTGACAGCAGCACTAACTTACAGTATTATTTGTCTCTCTTAACATTAACTATTAATTAAAAGGCATTAGAATGTTTTATAGAATATGAGGCATAAAAAAACAAACAAAACAACAATAATAACAAAAAAAAAACAGAGCTTGGTAGATTTTGGTACAAGCTCTGAGAAGTTGAAATACCGTTCTGGGATTTTCTTTGCTTCCTCTAGAAAACAGACAAGTTGTATTGTCAGAATTTTGATGCTGCTTCATGATTTAGTATTTTAAACTAAATGGAGAGTCAGGGTGTAAATTTGGCAATATTGGGGTGAATGTGAAAGAACCAGTTGATTTATCTAAGACTGAAGTACCAAAGGTGTTTTCACCAGTTTTTCAGCACTTTTTGTTCTGTCTTCTGTTAATATTCATGGAATTTGGAAATCACTGAAGTACAAAGTAACAACTATTTCCCTAATGAAATTCGAAATCTTGAAAATTGATACATAATAGCATAATACACTGCTGAGTATGTTTTGTTGTATCATAATCTTGTTTTAAAGTTGATTGACAGCATATGGCCATTACAGTATATTTTAGCCTTGGGATTATGGCATTAATAATGTATGACTCATTATGCATTCATTATGAAATGAAGTCTATTCTAAGACATAATCTCTTTAACCAAATATGCAGTGTTGCTATAAGCCAGCCTTTATAGACAAACTCAAATGAAGGACCTAAATCATTTGTATTAACTATTTATTTGATTAGTTGATGACAAATGAACATGTTCTTCTGTTGTGCTTTGAATTTGAAAAAATATATATAATTCAATGAAAACTAGTAATTGTGTCTTTGGAAGGATCTGGTCAAATTTGATTTCCAAACACTTAAAATACCCTTTATGATTTCGTCAACTGGAAATTTTATATTTGTCTTTGTGAATTCTATTCCAGAATCTTTCAGAATGGTGTAATGAACCCCTCTTCTCCCTCTCCCCCAACAAATAATGCAAAAGAAACAAAACTGTACAACAACACTCTGCCAATTAAAGCTTAATATTCATTCAGCCTATAGTTTGATTTTTGGATATGGAGAGAAAATCTTATATGGGTCACTGTCCTGAAATAAATCTGTTCCGAGTGTCTGTTATTAAGTGTGAACAGCACTTCATTTACATTAACATTGTCCATTTTTTCCCTAATATGCTAGAACTGTAACATTTAAACAGTAAGAATTTAGAGATTTAAATTGATGCTTACAAGCTTGGTAGCCTAACTGTGAGCTAAGTTCTAGACATAAAAAAAGGAAAAAAAAATTCTCCTTTAGAAATCAGATACTCTTTTTAAACTGAGTGAGGTTGCATATGTAGTATTTGTTGTATGAAACTCATTTTTAGGAGTGAAGCTTAGACATGTTTTCCTTGAATGTCAAACAGAAATGTGTGTTAAATATGGCATACATACTGAGGAAAAAAAATTAAGTCAGAATTCTAATGTAATTAATTCTAAAGGTACTGACTCTGAAATGTGGTTATAAAAGATATTCAATCTCATACTGAAACATACTACCTAATATGGTCCGTGGCTGGATGCAGGAGAGAGTCAAGGTGATAGTCATCAATAAGTGACTTCTTTCCTTAGATTTCAGTTACCTTTCTGATGTTAGATGTATAAATTCAAGATGAGACTTCATTGATATACATCCATTTTTATCCTAGTTGAGGAGAAAATGTAAGACTGGCTGAGGTCAACCTGAGATTTGCTGGCATTTTCATAACTTTCCATGGATGACAATTTGAAAGTCACTGCAATAAAACTGTCAAATTAAATACTCTAAGCATGAGTGACAGTGTCAAATAGGGCAAGAACCAATTTTCAATGATAATCTCTCTCAAAGCATGCACAAATTCTCATCTTCTGCAGAAAATACAGGGTACCAGGTTGGGAGAACTGATCGAGCTTAAGATTCGCTAGCATCTTTCAGCTACAGGTGCCATGTTGGTTAATCTGTCATTTTTAAGAGCTTCCTATATGCATCTACTGAATGTACATCTACTTTTACATATAGGTATAATTAGGGATTTGCAATGCTTTTTTGAATTCCATTTCAGTATGCATCTCCCATAATCTACATGTCCAAGTAAGCAGATAACATATTCAGGAAATTGAAGATCTCCTTAACTTTTATTTATGAAGAATTGAAACTATCAAAACCTTTAAGAATAAGTATTTACACTTCCAAAATCTCTTGAAAAGTTGAAATTTACCAACTTTGTTGTGTAAACAAGTAAGTGTACTGTCTTTGTGAGTGTTCAGCTGAGGACACGTTCATGACATGTCCAAACCTTTAAAGCAGAATTCTGTCTAAATGCAGGTTGTCCACACTGGAAATAGAAGAAAGAGCACAAAGTCTTGGTCTTTTTGAGACTTTGAAATCAAGTCCCGAAACCTTATACGAACACATGGTGAAATATGTTTACCCAAGTATTGAAGGTAGAGATCACCAGCGGTTGCTTTATTATTTCACACTCCTGGAAAATTGTGGTTGTTCAGAAGTTGTGAAGCACACTGTGAAGCCTGAAACTCACATCAGACTCCTGAAAAAGTTCAAAGCAGTTGCACCAGGTATGAGAGCTGCTGCCTATTTTTTGTTTGTTTTTCTAGCTGTACTTACTATTCTGTTATGCTGACATTAATACACTTATTGAATTTATACTTGTCAGGCAATTTTTTGTCAATGAGCATATCAAATGCATGTAAGTAATTTATTAAGTAAGCGTTATGCCTTATAGCAGCCTATTACAAGATCCTTTTCTTTGTATTACAAGAAATTTTGATTATCATAGCAAGGAAACAAAAATTAAAAATATTGTATCAGTGATGCATGTCAAAATTATTAGCAATAATTTATAGTGAATTTTTAAAATAGAAATACAGACATCCTGAAGCATAAGCCTGAAAGTTGCATGTGAACTGTCTTAAGCAATTTTGAGAATATTATCTTCAAAAGTCAATGTTATATAGTATGTCAAAAACTTTAAGCAGTTTTGTAAAGAGGGTAATTTTGTTTTATGCTTTTGCTTTGATGTTACCTTCTGCTTTTGCAAAAACCCATTATTTATCCCCTTACTTTATTCCTTTCCTTTTTCCTCCCTAGTCTGTATGCATGATTGTAAATGAAAGAGGAGTGAGAGTTTTTCTAGTTTTACACAGAAATGTGAAGATGTAGTTTTGAATAATTTCTATTTCGTTTGCCTTTTTCTCTTTGCCAATAGGTCTTAATTACAAAAAACTAATGGATGAAAATGAAAACCCTTTGGAAACGTTGGAGCCCATACTTACAAGTCAAAATATTTTATCTATTTCCAAACTGGCTCCCAAAATCCCTAAAAAAGATGGCAGTATGCTGTCACCAAGCTCTCTTTATGCTGTCTGGTTACAAAATCTTTTTTGGAATGGTGATCACCATCTCATTAAAAAAACACCAGAAACCATGGATGAATTGCTACATGCATATGATGTGTGTTCAAAGTACTTTGATAGACTTGATCCAGATGATATCATCACTTTCATTGATGAAATTACCTTTTCTTCAAAAGCTGTCACAAAGGTAAGTGGATCTATTTGAAGAATTCCTAACTTCAGGTGAAGCTCAGTTAATGTTCTGTGAGGGAGAAATTCATAGCAAAATTTGGTATTTTTAATTTTACAGTTCTTAAAAATAATTTCATGAGTATATACATTCCTGTACATCTTTCTCTTTATACTTCTGTCAGTATACAAAGAAAAATAATTGGGTAGAGGAGCTGGCTCTGGGGATAAGAGAGATTTTCATGGAACCTTAAAGTACCAGTATTCTGTTTCAGAAGAGAACAAGATATTCTTCTCATGTGTTTATTTTACTTGTGCTAATCCTAAAATTCATTGTGCTGCAAGCTTCTATTTACTACCAGTCTTTTGCATACTGAATAAGATGCTCCACAGAGAAGTGTTCTGGGCCACTGCATATGGTTTCCAGGCGCTGTAATAATTTAAATGATAAACTGTGTCGTAATTTCCATCTGGCTGAAAGCCTAGCATTGAAAGAATGTACTCTCATGTCTGTAGCATAAGCTATCAGATCTGCATTTTACTTTTGCCCAGTGAAACTTGGTTATAAAAGTATTTCTAACATAAAATTTTACCTATGCTTTGTCATATCTCTTTACTGCAAAGCACAAAAGAGTGATAAGAGATATCTTAGGTATTTCCTTAAAAGCTTGAGATACTGTCTTCACTAACTTAATCTGGAGTGGGAAAATGGAGTTTTTTTTTTTTAATCTTCTCTATTCTGCATCATGCTCATTTTACAGAGCTGTTTATTCATGTTTTCCCAAGAGGTGTCATTTTTTTTTCTCTCTGGATATTGTTTTAGTGTTCCTGCTGTACTAGAATAGAAATACTACAAGTGGTGTAACTTAAAAGAGTGCCGGAAAAGTGAAAACTTTTTGTTATTCATTGAATCATGTCTCCAGTGACAACAACACGGCCTGAGAGAACAACATGGAGCTGCATCAGGCGAGGGGCAGGTGTAGGTTAGGGAAGGGCTCTACATCAGAGGGTGCTTGGACCCTGGAGCAGGCTGCCCAGGCAGTGGTTATGGCACGATGCTGCAGCAGTTCAAGAAATGTTTGAATAGTGCTCTCAGTTGGACATAATGATTCTTGTGTGTCTCTTCCAACCAGGTTTATTTCATGATTGGAAGAGAGTTTCATGCCTATTGGGAGATATTTGTAGTCGTGGTGAGGTCTCAGTGCTAGACATGACCCTGCACTGAGGTGGCCAGGGGATGACTGTATTCAAGTGAGAAGGAAGTGTTGTCTTCATGTATGTCTGCTGCTAGTAATTACTTGAAACTCTTTCTGTTATTGTGCCTTGAGCATTTCAGAAGCTATTTCTCATTTATTTCAGGTGAATGATGTAGGGGGTAACATCCCCTGTGTACGTATTTTGAAATGTTTTGTTTGTTTCTGTTTAGGATTCTAACATAGTTTCTATACTCTCTTAAGATGAGTAGGTGTAAAGAGAAGGAACTGCTGATGGCTCTTTGAAGGTTATTGTGGTTGCTCTGTAAGCAGAAATTAGCAAAAAGCTTTTGGGCTGAAGCCCGAAGTCATAAAACTAACTTAAGAATTGTTTGAAGCAATTGATCAGATCAGCTGATTTAGCATCTACTGTGCACTGGGTTTGAGAATAAAACAGCTGTTTAACCAGCTTGCAACTATTCTTGTCTTAGAATCCAGTTAATAATTTTCAAATGGAAAGTGTGCAATGAAAAATTATCATAACAGTTCCTGAGATGGTATTTATCAGATATCATTTCCTATAACTATTATGTATGAAGTATTTTTCAGCTTAATGCTGTAACTTTTACTTAGAACTTTAGTTCCTGTAACATTTCTGTACATTTCTGTATTTTCGTAGAGATACTCATATTTAACATAGGTAAAGGTCTGCAAAAAACTTGATGCTTACACATGAATTAATCAAGGAACAATCAAGAAATTCTGAAGTGATGAGGAGTTATGGAAGGAAGGCCAAGTAGGTAGGATAGGACAGTTACTATGGTGTGATAAGGCTGCATGGAAGGCTATGTAAGTTGAACTTCCAGGGTATCATTGGTATTTTAACTCAGTGGGAATTTAGGAAACTGATACCAGAATATCCCTCACTGTTTTAGTATATTAGCAGAAGTAAGGAGAGGCAGGTAACAGACTATCAAAGCAATTGGGAGCCTCTTCTACTTGTGTGTCACTTGATAGGACAGAATGTAGAAACAAAGGGTAATTAAAGCGTAGGGATTTAATGCTGACTTCTGCAATTTGTAATTGTTAGTGAGAAAGACAGGAACTTGCTGGGGTTTTGACAATGGGTCTCTTTTCTCACCTTTACCTTCTACTTGCTCTTCTGTATTAATTTTTAAAAATTTATGTTGTAATAAGAGACATTTGTGTATAATATCACAATTACTACAGCGTGGAGTATGGGTTGGGAAAGAAGAGCAGCCATAGGTTTGATTTATTGCAGAACTTTTCTTATGATCCTGTGTAGAAGTCATTTGCATTTTTTGTATGTGAAGATGCCATAGCAACTACTTTCATTGTTGCTTCTTCTGCGCTACTAATAAATGGGCATCTGAAAGGTAGAAGGATAACTTTTTAGATTAGTTGGGCCAGTGGTAAATGAGTTTAAAGGAAGATGAATGAGCAGTGTTCAGCTGGCAAAGAAATTGAGAGGAAAATCTCAATTGGAAAAATGAATGGGCTTTCTATACTTGCCAATAGCCTTTTATATAACTATGTTATTTGTCCTTTTGCATCTAGTGATTTGAAGTATGATGAGTTTTTAGGTGACTGTGTGCTCATGTAAGAGCTCAGATGTGTTCTTCCATATTTCTTGTGGTCAACAGAAATCAGATACCACTTGGAAGATGAGATTCAGTTCCCCAGTCTTAAAGATTCAAATTAAGGGGTGACTGGGTGGTGGAAACTTGTAGACAGAGATGTATCATGGTGGGAATCTGGTAAATCATTAAGCTCAAAGTAATGCTGTTAATGTACTGGATATTCTGTAGAAGACAGATCAGACAACTTCCCAAACATTTTTTTGCTTTATTTTTTATGCCAACATGTCTATAGGATACCGTCCATGTTTTCTAGGGGGAGATTAAGAGTGACTTGTGAAACTATTGTAATACTTCATTGTTCTAGTAGCTAGTTATTCTGTGTTTGTTTATTTATTTATTTTTTTAAATGCTTCTTTTGCTAGACTGTTTATTTAATTTTGAAATTCCAGCTTATAGACTTCTTTTTCTGCTGTACTGAAGAGATAATCTGTACTGAAGAGATAAGTTTTGTTTCCACACATTCTGCAGGGGCCTCTTCAACTTGTCTTTGATGCACTGAATTTGGGGACTTTTCTGATCTTTTTGTTTTTTTCTATATCTTTAATTATTTTTACAACTCTTCTGTGGGTTTAGCATATCAGCATCTGCCTTCAGTTGGGCAAAACTGAATGATCAATGATCCATATGAAAGCTAGATGGATGATAAATGAAAGAAGTGAAGTTTTTAACTCTTAGTCAGTACTCTTTCACACATTGAAGGACTGAAACATTGATCCTTTCATCAACATAGTCTACTTGCATTTGGAAGATATTGTGGTTATGAATGGCATTAAATGGAGCTGTCCACAAGTCGTGAATGATGTTTCCCAGGAGTCAGTAATGGAGCCTGTCCTGTTCAATGTCTTTATTGATGACTTGAATGAGGGTGTTGAGTGCACCCTCAGTGTGTTTGCAGATGATACCATGCTGGGAGGAAGTGTAAACTTGCCTGGGGGTAGGAATGCCCTTCAGAGGGATCTGAACAGCCTTAATTGCTGGGCTGAGGCCAATGGTATTAAGTTCAACAAGACCAACTGCTGGGTCCTGTGTTTTGGCCGCAACAATCCCACTCAACTCTTCAGGCATAGTAACTGGAAGACTGTGTGGGAGAAAATGGATCTGGGAGTGCTGGTCAACATTTGACTAAATGTGAGCCAGCAGAATGCCCAGGTGGCCAAGAGGGTCAGTGGCATCCTGGCTTGTATCAGAAATAGTGTTGCTGTAGGAGCAGGGAAGTGATCATCACAGAATCATAGGGGTTGGAAGGGACCTCCAGAGATCGAGTCCAACCCCCCTGCCAGAGCAGGTTCCCTACACCAGGTCTACATCATCCATCTGTACACAGCTCTGGTGAGGGTGTGCCTTGAGTACAGCGCTCAGTTTTGGGCTCCCCGCTACAATAAGGACATTGAGGCCTTGGAGCGTGTACGGAGAAGGGCAGCAAAGCTGGTGAGGGATCTGGAGCACAGACTTCATGGGGAGTGGCTGAGGGAGCTGGGGTTGTTTAGTCTGGAGAAGAGGAGGCTTTGGGGAGACTTTATCACTTTCTTACAGCTACTCGAAAGGAGGTTTTGGTGAGGTGGGGTTTGGCCTTTTCTCCCGTGTAATTAGTGATAGAACTAGAGGGAATAGCCTCATGTTACACCAGGGAAGGTTCAGGTTGGATATTAGGAAAAATTTGTTCTTTGAGAGTAGTCAGGTGTTGGAATGGGCTGCCCAGGGAGGTGATGGATTCATCATCCCTGGAGGTGTTCAAGAAACGTTTAGATGTTGTACTGAGGGACATGGTGTAATGGAAAATATAGATGGTAGATGGACAGTTGGACTTGATGAACTTGGAGGTCCTTTCCAACATTGGTGGTTCTTTATGGTGGTTCTTTACTGTGATATTTACCACCTTTTAGATATTCTGTATATGAGATTTCCCATTTTTTAATACTCCAAATGTTCAGTGGCATTAACACTTATATTTTTGAATGCATTTTGATTTTTTTCTTCTAGTAACTCTCCTTTATTTTAAATAATGCTGACTTCGCATTACAGCTGTGATCATAGCAACTTTGTCTTCATGGCTTCCTTTGTGACCTGAAGTATTTAATATATTTTAAAATATATTTTTAAATTCTATTGTTGCAGACATTTTTTTTGGTTGTGCTAGATGATCTGAGAGAGATCTTCAGAGAACCATCTGTTTCAGCTTGTATGTCATTATTCAGAAGTTCATTGAAACATGCCTGAAAACCAACCACAAAACCACAACTGAAATCAATTAGCTTTTATGTCACCATATTTTTGTTATTGAGGATAATATTGCAAATGGGGATGGATGTAGTATGTTAGATAGGAAGAAAAGATTAGAGCTTAAGATTGAAAAAGAGAACAGAAAGCAGTGGTAAATCAATTAGGTCATCTATAGAGAGAGAATTGAACTTTTACTTCACAGCCTCCACAGACTCCCACATTTGTTTGACCTATGGCTTTTTTTTTTTCTGTTTACTACTCCATTCCTTTTTCTTCCCTTGTGTAACTTCTGATACAAAGGAAGGACTTCACAAGCAGTGCAGTGGCTTTATTTGAAAGGCTGACCCTTATTTCTTTTGAATTTGTAATGCCTTTTTGACAATTTTTGTTGTAGGAATATGATATGCACATTTTGACTAAATGCCAAATGGATGAACAGTGGACAACTCACTACTGCATCGTTTTCTCTTTCAGTTTGAATGACTTTAAATGCCATTTTAATTAGTTATAGAAAAAGCTCATCTTTAAAGAAGTTCTTTGTAATATTCAGTACCTTTTGGCTGGCTGATTGACTTCTTAGCATTTTACATTGTTTTAAGGAAAAGGAGTATAACTTCACTTGAAGATTTACAAGACGTGTTAATAGCATTCCGACAAAGCACAGCTGCATTCACATGTCAGATTTTGAATTACTTGTCATCTTTTTATCACTTTTTATCACTATGCTCCAGTTCAATCAGTTTGTCTTGTATGACATCTTTCTTCATATGTATTAATAGTACCTCTTTTTCTGACATCAATACATCGATACTTCAATGTACCTTACCATTACTATATTCTAGTAAGTCTGCTTCAAGAGGAAGCACACTTAGTAGTAGTAGTGTCTTTCCTTCAACTGATTCCTTACATTTGTTAGAACTTCTACACTGTTCTTCAGGTTAATTGTACTATGGGTGGAGTTAATTTTCTTCATGATAGCTTATGTGCCATGGATTTTTTGTTTATTATTTTCTACAAAGTACTGCACCTGCTGATTTGTGGCTAAACCAAAGTTGATAACACACCAATGTTTTGACTTTCACAGCATCAAGACTTTCTCTCCTTCTCCAGGTTAATAAGTTAGATGTAGGCAAAAAGGTAGAAAGGACAGCTGACTAAATATGGCCAAGGGAATTCTTTACCAAATAATGTCATGCTCAGCAGTAACAAATGGGAGTGTTGGGGTGTCTTCCAAAAGCAATCAGAAATTTTTCTTGGCACTGTTCTGTTTATGGGAGGTGGTGAGTGATTGCCACTGTTTCTCACTCCTTCATGTTTTAAACTATCTTTGTCTTCATTCACAAGTGTTTTTGCCTTTGCTATTCCAGTTGTCTCCTCCCACCTGTAACAATTGGGAACCATCTTTCATTATTTCGTAGTTAATGTAACTTAATTTTCCTTCTACTATGTCCTGTTGAGATATGCTTAGATGGCATTTGGTCGTTGAAGTACATGAAGATGGAATTTGATGGCAGAGACAGGAGCCATACCAAACGGTTTACTTTGAGCATCAGGCAGTGTGTATTTGTTGGTTGCCCAGAGAGTCTGTAGAGTCTCCTCCTCGAAGATCTTCAAAATCTGCCTGGACCTAGTCCTGAGAAACCTTCTATGGATATTTTTGCTTGTGTCCCTGTTGGTGTTGGGCCACACAAACCCAGAGGGCCCAGACATGCAGTCTGTGATAGCGATGCTGGGGATCTCAGGTTTTCATTAAAAGTGAAACTTTCTGTCATCACAAAGCTGAATGCTAATCGCTGTCAGTAAGAGTGACAGGATCAGAAAGTTCATAAGCAAATAAATGTTACTTGTAATGGAGTACTTAAATATTCTGAAGGTAATTGGCTTCTAGGATGGATTTTTACCCTAAGGAGTGAAATCTGTTGTGCTGAAATTGTGTGACGTTCCTTTATTTGAATATGAAAGAAAACTGATTTTTAGGTTGTTTTTTTTTTTTTTTAACCACGTATTGAAGCCTATAGAATTAAAGATCCTTTTGAACTTTAAAACCTTTTAGAAAAAAGAATACTTCACATTCGAACAAAGATGGAAGTAGCCCCTAAGCTATTTTTTTCATTGAATATGACACCAAATCTCATTACTGAACTGACTAGAAATATGGAGGATAGCCATTTATGTTTGGGAATAAAATAATCATAGAGAAGTTATGTTAGTAGTGCTGCATTTTAGTAGTATGCAAATAAGAATGCAAAATTAAAATAGTCTTGGAATACCATTCTTGTTTTTAATGCTCTATTCTATGTATGCTGATAGCATCATGACTTTATGCATGCAGAATATTCACATAGTTCTCTAGGATATAACAGTTAGATGGAATACTTAAATTGTTTGCCTTTTTGCATCTCTCTTAATTGCATTTTGAACATTAGAAAATATACAGTTAAGGGGAGAGAATGAAAAATATAGCTGTTTTCATCTTTTATGAGGTTTACAAAATGGATACATAAATCCATCCACAGTCATTAAATTGTAACATGATATGAAGAGTTTCACCTTTTCCCTGTTTTTATTATAACAGCTTAGTTTTCCTCTTTCTGTGATAAATCCACCTTTTTCCTCTTCAATAGGTCATACAGATCCAAGCTTTGTTTTCTGTTTCTTGTGTAAATCTACTTTGAAATTAACACCGTTAGCATGTGTCTAGTAAACCAGTAGTTAAAATAACTGATGTTAAATATCTAATGCTGTGGGTCTAGGCCTCCATCTGTCAGAAAGTTTATTACAAGCATCTTAAAACAGGACTTGAAATTATAATTTAACAATTTATACATGATGAATGATTTTAAAAATAATATTTCAGGCTTTGTTTTAGATTTCTAGCTGATGCTGCTGTTAAGCACACAGGAGTTTGCTGCAAATGCTGTCTGTTTAAAGAGTGTTTCCATCTTTATCTGCTCCCAAAGTACTCCTGGATTCTGGAAGCTTGGAAATCAGTAATTGTTGCCTGGCTTCTATTCTGAAGTACTCAGTTCCATTCTGATGCACTGGAATAATCCCATCATGCCAGATGGAAGCATAGGAGGAGACTTCATTCAGTGTTTGCATGAATGTATCTGGAAAATGATCTCTGCTAGAAGTTTAATGGAAAAAGCAGATTTTTTTTTTTTTTTTTTTTTTGCTGTAATGCCTAGATACATCTGGTTGTAAAGGTCTTTCAAAACAGCAAATTGTTATTCTGTATAAGTCGCACTTTAAATATGTAGATTTGAAAGGAGTTTGTATCTCTCTTAAAGCCAATCTGTTGCAGCCTACATTTTATTAAAATTTTGTAGAACTGTAATGTACTTCTATGAGAGACTGACAAAAATTTGATAGCTGCATAATCTTCATTGCAGTAGTAGCATAATATGGTGGTAACCCACCTGTGAAATAGTTTTGCTTGAGCATTTTCTGAAACAAGTCATACATGGCTCAAGATAAATTACTGAAGTAGACCTCCAAGTGGTCTTTCTTTATGACTATAGTCTTAGAGATGTATTTCAAATGATGATCTAGATCTAACAAAACTAATTTTTTGTATTTGAGTTTTTCAGTTTGTATTATAGAAAAGTCCCCAGACATCTCTTAATGCAAAGTTAAAACGTTTTAAGAAAATAACAACAACAAAAACAATCTGCAAAAATTATGAAAACTTCTTCAGTAATTTTGATATGTTCTATTGTGAGCCATATTCAAGATGAATAAAAGAAAGGACGGCAGAAGAAAGTAAATGGAATACTGATCTTTTTTAAAAAATAAATGACTAAATAAATTTGTTTCTTCTAAAACATTTCAGTTTTTTTAATGCACAACTGTAGAATAGTGTACCTCTAGGCATTGTTTTAATACAAATAGTAGTGTATGCATAAGAATAATAATGATTAAATACTGAGCAATCTCTTTCAGCTGCCTGTTGAAGCCAGGATAGAAGTGACTAAGAAGGCTGTTAAGGCAGTCAAACATCTTTCTGAGAAATCAAGAAAAAAGCATTCTGAGAATGAGATGGAGGATGCTAAAAATCCAGCTGTTGCATATGAAAAAACTCTGAATCACTTGCAGCAATCCCTTGCTCATCTGGAAACACTCACTCATAGTTTTATCACTTATTTGAAAAACAGCGAACAGGTAATGGTTACCAATCTGATACTTGTTTTGAGTGTTGCCATAACCAGTAGTGATACACATCAAACTACTGTCATATTTTTTGTGTTTTACAGCGTTGTTTTTGTTTGCTTGGTGTTTGAAAATTCATTTCTACCAGTCTTTTCTGTTTTGTGGTAGATGTTTTATCTTGGCAGAAGTAAAGATGACACATACCCGTAAATAAGGAGTGCACTGATTCGTGTTCAAAACTTATCTGCTCACAGGATGTACTACAGAAGTATGGTTATTTATATGATCTGTCAAGGTCAGAGAGAGACCAAATCCATGAGCAAGCAGTAACCATGTGTATAGATGGTCAACCCCTGGACATGATACAACAGTTGATAGAAGTGGCTGTTGGAGATCTTTGTCTTTCTACCAAAGATATTGTTCAATGTGCTATTAAAAAAATTATATGTATGCTAAGGTAAGTCTAATGTCAGTGTTTTTTTTTTTTTTCTTTTGTTTGTTTTAATTGAGTGCTTATTTGCTTTGAATGTGTGGATTTTATAGAAGACTAGATAATGAGAGGAATTGACTTCTTATTTTTCCACTCATGGATAATGTCATGTTCAGATGAGACTGTTATTCTGAGTTTAGAAAACCTGAGTTATTTGAACTAACAAGCAACGGAACTCATTCTGCTCACTGAAAAGTGCTTTTAAGTTTTAAACCTTTAGGTTTACAATTCCATTACGTGTGCATGCATTTCAGAAATTTTGGGCAATTTTATGATTTCATGTTCTTCCCTCTTCAAGACAGGAAAATAGTGTGTACATTTTCATGCAGCTTTTTAGGTAGTAGAAGCCTAACAGCAGCTGTTTCCACAACAGTTAATTCTACAAAATGAAGTAGATTTCCATCTTTTGAGTAACTTGCTGTTTTTTTGGTTCTTTGTCTCATTTTCAAGCTTTTCAGATTTATGTGTTAATTTAAAATTATGAATTCATAGTCTTTCTAAGTAAGTTTTTCATCTTTGTTTTTCGTTCTTGTAAAGAAAGCTAGAGTTTTTGCTGTTCTTCTGTCTCCCCTTGTGTCACATCCAACCCCCAAGTTACATTGCAACTGTGATTATTCTACGTTTCCTACAGTAATTAAAAGTAACAATGATTAAAAATAAATGATACAACGAGCTGTCGTCTTGGAGAGAAATTTTGATTTCAGGAACTGTTTATTTGACCAACTCTTTCTGACACTTACTGTTTCTTGCTGCTGATAGTGCCATCATAGGAATGTTCCCTGGTGGAAGCGATTCTTCATCCTTATCTTTTTCTAGAATTCACAGCTCCATTACCTCTGTAGTTGCATTACACAAACCAAACTGTTCTGTTTATGCTACCATAATGAGTAATCTCTTATGTGAAAAGTATGGGGAAAAATGTGAAATAACTGGCTTCTGCACTTTATACTTACACGTCCTTGAATAATTCTGTGTGATGGATGATGCAAGAGGAGATTAAATCAGCTGATGCTGGTTTTCTTAGCCTCACTTAATAGTGCACTTAGCATTTGCATTAATTTCAATACATAGGTCTTTTACATGCATATATTATTTATAGTCTTGTTTCTAAATAACAAATATAACTCTTGAAAGGAGTCTTACTAAATTACTGTAGTTATTGTGTGCTTCCTTAAGTACCTGTTGTGTCTTGTATGCGGAAAGAAGAAAGATTTTTTCATTGAAGAGTGTAGTGCCTGTTGAGTTAGCAGTGGTGTCTGTACTTACTGTCTTCTAGCCCAGAAAGGACATATCTTTCATTCACAAGTTTGAAGTTAAAATAATTTTAATTTAATTGGCATTTGGGAGAATATTATGTCTCTGAGAATGTGGAGCTGTTAAAAATACGCGTGAGTGGACATAATGTGAACACAGGTGAGAGAAAGAAAAGCGAGTTTATTGAAAAGCCCTTCAGTGAGATAACGTACATTTTATGCATTGTATTTAGTGTTTATTTGTAGCTGATCTTGCCATTCAGAATACTTTCTCCTAGGAAGTGGTAAAAATAAATAAATAAATAAATAAATTGACAGCTTTTATAGTGATGGTGACTGTAAAATTCTTCTGGCAAGTAATGTGGAACTATAGTATGTCCTTTGAGGTTCAACCTTTTTCCTGCCGCAGTAAAACTGAAGATATTTATTAGAGCAGTGAAATAATAGAGAATGTGCTTCAGGGGCTTGAATGACAATCCAGGAGGAGAGTGTACATGGAAAACATTCTGTTAGGATTAAATAAGCCTGTGAAGATTTTCTTAGTCTTCAGCAAGGTTTTAAGATGTGGATTTTGAAGTCCATGGATGTTTGTAGCCCATTAGGAGCAACCTGTCCTCTTCCTATCAAGGAGATAGCAGTTCAGACACATGCCTCTCTGACATAATTTAATTAAAAAAAAATATGTTCAGTTCCCATTGTTTTAAAGCTAAAATGTGAAATTCTGAAGGAAATAAGCAGGGGTTAAATTCTGCAATTTGACCTCAGTACCTCTATCATAATTTGTGTTCCCAAGGAAAATAGAGTTCAATATGTTTTGTGATCATTGTTAACAGAATATCAATGAGATCTTAAAAATCCTTTTGTTAGTGAAGCTCTTCCTCCCCCAGAGCATTATAAATATACTCACTTTGGCTCTTTTTTCTTTTTCTATAGTTCGATTGAATTAATTCATCAGGGACACTCTCTTGGATTTGATGTTGGGGCTGGGTCTTTTCCTGCCTCGGTCTTTGGTTTGCTGAGTATTCCATATGAAAGACCACTATATCAATCACCTCATGTAACCAACAAAAAACTTTATTTTGGGGGAAGGAGTAGGAATAGGAGTGTAGGGGAGAAAGTTGCTTTATATCATTTATGATAAATGGACAGATATTTCTCATTTTAATATTTTTCCAGAACACTCTTCTAAGGTATTTCTGTTCCAAACATACATGCAACACACATGAAAGTATTCTACTGTTAAATTACTGCTAGGCTCTTTCACATTTTATACCAGTTTAGATGGATAAAACTTAGGGAATTTATTTGGTTTATTTGTCATGAGGGAAAATTATGTGGTTAGGATGGTATGAGTGGACATAACAGAATAATGTAAGTCTAGCATGAAAAATAATTTACATCTCTATTTATTTCTCAGCAATTATGTCTATACCAGAGACAAAAAGAAGTCAGCCTGTCAAAGCATTTGCAGTCTTCTTCGTCAGAAAATGTGTTCCCGAAGTCACTCAGTTTTGGTATTCATAGCATCCTCAGTGATGGTAGAGCTATTACATAGGAACATCAGTAATATTGTCTATCTTGCCGGGGTTTGTCCAGTTGGTAAATAATAATTTGGCTTTACATGACCACTGTCCTGATGTGCCTAGCTGGAATACAGAAGTGTGATGCATCTGGATATAAAGTTTATGGCTTAATTCAACTTCAATGAGTCTCATTAATATGCAGTCTATGACAAACTTCTCAAAATTCTCCTTTCTACTTCTTTTTCTGTGAATTGAATTATATTTTCCTTATATAGACATTGCAAAGCAGAAATGTCTGAAAGGTGGTTAAAAATTCTGTTCTGCAGACAATGACTCCTAAGCAGCACTTTTCATTAAAGATTGGAAAGTACATCCCTTCTGTGGACAAAACATGGAGGTTGGGGGAGGAGAGGTAGGGGCCTTAGTTTGACACCTCAGATAAACTCCGAAATTCACTACTTTTCAACTAGTGTGTGATGTGCAATTTTTTGACCAGTCTTCTCCTTTATAAATGCAAACTGATGCTTTAAAAAAAAAAAAAAAAAAAAAGCAAAATGTTATAAAACAAGATGCCCTGGTTAATTTACTGTCTGTTTGCTAAGAGGATGAAAGTCAGAGGGTGGTAGTAGTCACATAACAAGGAGTGGAAAGTTTGACTACTCCAGTGGTAAGAAACATGAAGTAAAAATCCATCGGAGAATAGAAAATCTTTGAAGTAATATCCTTCCTCTTATGAAATTCAGTAAGAAAATATTATAAGGTAGCATCACTCTAAAAAAAAAAAAAAAAAAAAGCAAGCATTTAAAAGAAAGGTTGTGTCCTAGAATCTCTTAAGCCTATTGGCATTGATGCAATTTCTGTGAATGAAATTGGTTACATTTCTATTCTGTGCTCAAATACCAGCTTTAAAGCAAGAGCATAATGCAAATCAGAGCACATTAACTGCAGCATTTCAAGCAGCGTTTTCATTTCAGAGTTCATGGGCAAAAAACTGTGATTAAAAGAAGTCTTTCCTGTGAGCCCAGGAAGATAAATTTTCTTTAATAATTGTAACATTTCAAGGGAAAACTCTTCAGATTTTTTTTTTTTTTTTTAGTTTTGATACAGGACTGTTTTATATAATAGTTTTGCAGGAGACAAATTTCTTCTTTGGCAGTTAACATTCAAAGTAATACTTGTAGGGTCATAACTCTGAACTGGAGTTTCCCTGGATTTCCTGTAATGATGGTGACAAGGCATGTAATGAAGGTACTGTAATTTTAAATGAAACAGGCCAATATGGATGTGAAAAATTATGGTTGTATCTGCGATATACATGAAAGTGAAACAGAAATGCACTACTTCTGTGATTGAAAATATGCATCCTTTCTTTCAGTTTTGTAACTGCAACCTCCCTTGAAACACATTAAGTGTGTCAAAATGTTTCCTGTCCATGATAGAGGAATCTTCTACAAAGTATTGCATTTCTGTAAAAATAAATTAGTTCTTGATGTCCTGCTGGCTTCTGCACCTGGAACATAGCAGTACTGGACTGGGAGATGAGTGGGTGGAGAGGGGACATAGGCCACGTTGATGTGACATCAGGCTCTACATACCCCAGGTGTGCCCTGGCAGCCAAGAGGCAAACTGTGTTTTGGGGTGCATTAAACACAACATAGCCAGCCATACAAAAGAAATGTTTCTCACGCAATCTTTAAACTTCACTATTGTTTGCTGTTCTGAGCTCCGCAATATAAAAAAAGGATGTTAAGAACGTTGAAAGTGTCCAGGGCAACAAAAAGTGGGTAACAGGGCTGTAAGGCATGTCTTGTGAAGCAGAGGCTGAGGGCATTTGGATTGAGGCTGAGAAGCAACCTTACTGCTCCCTGCAGCTCCTGAGGGAGGGGAAGCAGAAGGAGGTACTGGGCTCTGCGTCTGGGAGCTGATGGCAGGATGGAAACGACACAGTGCTGCAACAGAGGAGGTTCAGACTGGACAAAGGGAAAAATTTCTTTGCTTTGTGGCTAGTCAAACACAGGGGGAAGTTTCCCAGAGAGGTGGCTGATGCCCTGTGCCTGTTATTGTTCAAGAGACATTTGAATAATCCCCTCAGTAACATGCTTTAACTTCTGTTTACTCCTGAAGTGGTCAGGCTTGGACCTTCAAATATCACTAAATTCCTTGGAACTGTTGGATTCTGTTCATTTTTAAGTAACATGTGATATCATAGGCATAACACCTCTTACACCTTCTCAGAAGCAGTTCTCATCTAAAAAATAGTTATTTGTCAAATACTGTAATTTCAAGAACAGTATTGTCCAGTTTTGTCAATTGTTCTTATCTTTCTTGACTTTCTTCTGGTGCACAGTTCTGGTGCACAAAATTTAAATTAGAAAATCTTGCATTAGTAGGTATAAAACCTCTCCAAGAGAATATATTGAAAACATTATACAGGAACTGTATTTGATGCTTTCTTGTTTGCCTGTGGAAACAGCTATTAGTAATATAAATCAGTTGTTTCTTAATTAAAAGAACAGATAGTATGAAAAAGATGTTGGTAATCAATGGTAATCTGATTAGGTTTAGCTAAGATTCAGTTTATTATGTTACCAAGATCACTCATGCAATATATTGGAAACATTCCATGATCTGTGACTTTAGGAAAGCTCGTGAATGATGAAGAAAAATTTTGTATCCTCTGCTTAAGAGGAGTCTAGGTAATCAGAGAAGACAGTTTATCCAAGAAAGACATTATGACTTCTTTCATTCGGAGCTCCTAAATCTTTCAGCTTAGGTGTTCAGATGGGTTTTTTGTTTCTTAAAATTTTGGAATTTTTTGCCAGACAGTGAGCAGGACAGGTTAGTTGAAATTTTGAATTTGTATTTAATAGCAAGACTTTTTTTTTTTTTTTTGAATGAGGTAAAAAGTCTTATTAGACTGAGCACCTAAGAGAAAAAAACAGATTTTTCACCATCTCATGTCATTTGAGCAGGAGTTGTTCAGGGTAATTTTGCAACTCAGATATTACATGATTCCATGATACTTCTGATGGAAATAACTGTTTGACATTGTGACTTTCTCCAGCTTGAACTGTTAACACCAACAGTATATGATTTCATTATTTTCCTGATACTTAGATGAAGTGCAAAACAGAGTTAAATAGGGCTGGAATAATAGAAGAATATAACGTATTTTCAATGAACAGTTTAATTAGGTTAAAATACGTAGATGGGTTTAATTTATTCCCTTTTCAAGCATACTTTGTACTTTATTGTATTTAAGCAACTTGATTAAATATGCATCACTTTTTCTGAAGCTGAACTATGATCAAAATAAGCCTTTGTCAGTGTAATTACTCGAGGCTCGTATGTAGGAGTTTTGAGGTGAACACTGAATCCTATGCTGTTTAATACATGCATAAAGTAGCATATAATCTGTGAGTAAAATTAGTCCTTCGTTAATTATATTTGTTTCTGTTAGTAGCTGCTCATTTTAAATTACTAGGAAAAAAACAAGGAAGAGGTCTTTGTGAAATCTTGACACAGTTATTTCTTTAATGAGCTATAGGATCTTTTTATTTCATCTAACCATTTTAGGGCAGTAAAAGCAATATTAAGTTTTAATAAGTACCAGCTTCATTTCTTTTTTTTTTTTTTTCCCAAGTATTTTCTTATTATAAATAACTGTAATTTACTACTAAAATTAACCTTTTTTTTTTTTCCTTCTCTTTCCTCTCAGCTGCTTTAAACAACAATCAGGAGGCTCTGGAATATTCCTTTTTTTTTTTTTTTTTTGACATATTTAATAGCAGAATAGCTTTGATATGCTGATGAAATACACTTATCTGTGGGTTTTTGAGTCAGCAAACTAACTTGGGGACTGTTTGCCTGCCTTTCTTCAGTGCAGCCTTCACAAACTCTTAAGACTGGCAGAATTGTTTTCTTGTTCAGTCCAGGGTTACTAGTTAAGAAGGAAAAGTAGAAAACTACCAAAACTGTTAAGTAATTCATATGTATTCTACAGTTGGGTAGATTTAAGTACACCATTAAGAACTGTTTTTACAATGCCTCTTGTCTCTTCCTTTAGCAGTGGAAATGATGGTTCTGCGTCAGTCAAAGATCCACTTGGAATCCTAGAAGGCATTGTTTCTGCAGTACATGCCAGTGTTGAAAAAGGGTAAGAACTTATGTGGAGTCCTGTGTTAAGGCTCTGAGAGATACTATGTAGGAATGAAGGTACAATATTGAGTATGGATGATTTTTCTTCACAGATGTATATAATGAGTTTGCGTTTAGATTTATAGGATTTTATTCTTAACCTGCTATCACCTACAAAGCTCAAAATCTGAAGCCTAACAGAACCTTTTACTTGAGCATTTGGAAGAATCACTGAACGTAAGATTTATGTAATAACATATAATGGTGATTTGAGGAAATTGAGGTATTTCTGCCCTAACTCCGTCTAGAAGTAGAACCTTGCTTTTGTTTCAGTTTATTAGATAAGCTGCATGTAATAGAGTCACATTTAGATACCTGAATTTAGATATCTTGTCAATGTATGTAAGGTATAGCACAAAAAGAAATTACACAGATGCTGTGTAATGCTTCTGTTCGTGTCTTCTCCTCTTTTGTGAATGTTCATCTGTCAACTTACACAATGATTTGTCTCTCTCGCTGATGCATATTCCATTGTATTTTTCTTGAAGACAAGAAATAAAAAAAAGTCAGTTGTCTTTTCAGTTTTATAAACTTAAGAACTTATGTCTAATAATAATAATTAAAAAGTAATAAAATAATAAAACACCATGCTCTTTGGTGGCCAACAAAAACAATTAAATTGTGCAGAGGCTCCTCAACTAATATTTAATTGGGTAAATATTGGATACTGAAGAAGACTGTTGTCAAAATCTGCAATAAATCTAATTTACAGTATAATAATGTAGAATGAGAGAGTCAATTCTAGTTATATTCTGAAATGCACTTTCCAGAGTCTTTAGATACATACTTCGAAATTAAGCTGTTGAAACAATAAACTAAAGTGAAAATCATTCCGATTACAGGAGATTATTTACATCCTTTTAAGTACTTGTTCTTATTTATCTTCTTAAAGCTTAGCTATTCAATTTACAAAATGTAAACCCCTCAGGAAAGCATATGTAAACAAACGGGTGTGAGCTCTGCAAAACACTGGAAATATTCAGACACCTTTTAATTTCCAGTCTTTTCATGTACAGTTTGAATGATACTCGTTTGGCAGAAGCAGAGCTAATTTTACTGAAGTTCTGCATTCAGCAGCATCATTCAGGCAATATAAAAACTAAGTAAAATTGAGATCTTTGCAATCTGAATATCTAAGCTGTCAATGTTTATTTCAGAGCTGCAAGATGGGATAAATTCGTATTTTTCTGTCTGACATTACTTTCCTGTCTGTCTTGTTAAGACAAATAAGGGAACATTAGTTATAAATCACATTCTACCTGGAATTGTTGTCTTGATTTAAATTAAATAAATAAGCCTTAGTTTGAAATTCTATTGAAAAATAGCAGAATAGGCTTTTACTGATTTGTTACATAGCAGTTTAGAGCCAGTAAGGGACAGAATAGATTACTGTGTCTGCAGTTGCTAGCAGGTTGGTTGAGTTGGTGGCAGTCAGTGTACTGTAAAACGTACTTTAAAATTTAGGATGTATTCAGTATACTAAACATTTAAAAATTAAATTACATTATTAAGATATATTTGTTAATTATCTAAGTGATAAAACACAAAATATATTGATTTATGACAGTTTTTTCTTAAGAGGATTGTGAACATTTTTCATTATTATATTAGGACATGCAGTGATCCATCTAGCTAGAGATTATATATAAAAAAAAAAAAAAACAACAAATTGCTGGAGCCACTTGTGATGTTAATTCGTGTATATAGAACATAAATCTTTTCCTTTAAGGAAAGAAAACAGTATAGATCAACATTAGAGAAAGTTGAAAACAAAAAATAAGTAATATTAAAAAAGAAAAGTGGTCAGGCTACATAAAGTACAGTTATCAATCAGGACCAGTTGCATTAGGCGATTTTTAGGTACTGAAATTCAGGGCCATTGTGATGAAATTTGCAGTCAAGGTAGTGTGGGAATGATGCATAACTGGATAGATGGAGTTTTGTGGTGTTTACTAGGTTATTTGAATTAAAAAAAAATAAAAATAAAAATCTTCTAGCACTTAGCTTCAGGCACCCGATATGAAGTCTGATTTGTCAGCAGTCTCATAGAGGTCAGCTCTTCAGAGGCATACTCCTTCTAAGTAGATAGCTAAAATAAGTAGTCATACTGCTCGTGGTATTCTATGTACTTCATGTAGCATTTCTGAGGAATCCCACATTCACACTAGTTTACCTGGGTTCTGCTTCTGTGTAACACAAAGATAGTTCATGACACCTCTGAGAAAGTTTGAAGTGTACTGAACAGATCTGTGAGCAACTTTGAAAATACACGTAGGTAATAGGATCAGGATGTTTAACATAGTATTGTTTAATTACAGGGAGAAAGTAGTTTCTTCAGATGATCTCCTGGAGTGGCTGAGACCTTTCTGTGGTGATGACTCTTTACCAGTGAAGCCTCGCATCAAAGTACTGCAAATTTTGGAACAAGCCTTCCACCTCAGTGATGAAGACAGCAAGCTGCTTGTGTACTTCAGGACTCAAGCTGTTCTTAGAGCTTACTGGCCTGAAACAAAGGTATTAAAATTTACAGCTATAGATGATAGCGTGAGACTTTCTTAAGTAGGGATTATATGGTGAAATTTGAGTTTGTAGTCTGTGATTGTCTCTATGGGCACTAATCCTATTTTCCTTTTGAATCAAGATTCTAGTAAATTGTGATTCTTTGAAAAACAAAATAGTTAATGGAATCCTCAGCTTTTATTTACAATCAGGAGAAAGTAATACCAAACTTGATTAAATACTAATGATTGTTTTGTACAGCATTAATTTAACTTCCTCTTTTTTTTTTTTTTACATTTTTTCTTTTTAGACAGCTGCTTGTCACTTTTATTCTCCCCTTTGTTATTTACATGGTGTGACATTATATTCAGATTTTCTTTTTCCTGAACTCTCTGAGTTTTATATCATGAATGTGTAGTTGGAACATCAAGGACATTCTCAAGTGGAAGGAGCTGATTGACAGGGAATGCCTTTGATCATAGTTGGAGTGTGCTACTGCCTCTTTGAAGAGGCAGCACCTAAGGCAGTTTTTTTTTTTTTTTTTCTTAGAGCATCTCTTACCTTAAACTGTCCCAAGTGTGATTTTGAAGTCTTTTTCAGAGCAAAGTACGGAAAAACAACATAAAATTATTGCTGAAAGAACTTGCTATAAGCTGGTTATTATTTGTTCCTCACAAACAGACACAGCACTTCTAGCCCAAGCTTTCAAGTTTAAGACGGAATAATTTTCCTTCTGAATTAATAGATCAGAAAATTCTGAGGTTTGATTTTTTTTTTTTTTTTTGAGCATATGTAAAACTGAATCTAAGATGGTAAAGATCTTAGCATGAAAGTTTTCAGGAATGAAAATTACAGAATCACAGAATTGCAGGGATTGGAAAGGATTTCGAGATAGAGTCCAACCTCCTTGCTGAAGCAGGTTCCCTACAATAGGTCACACAGGTAGCATTTAGATGGGTGTTGAGTATCTCTATAGAAGGAGATTCCACAACCTGTCTGGGCATCCTGTTCCAGTATGTAAAGCAGAACATTGACATATTGAATAATATTCAAAAATAATATTTGTTATGTATGATTCTTTCTTAAACAGATATATTTCTCTACTCATTTTGGTAAAATGCTTATTATGAAAGTATGTAGCATTAGAGGTTCTACATTTAGTCTTCCAAGTACAATGCAAATCTAGTAAATGCTTAATGGGAAGAAATATTCTTATCTTTGAAGCTTGTGTTATTTTGAAATCATAGGAGTATCAGTTGATGCCTTTAGAATTATTCAGAAGCAGAATTAATCTTCCTCCATTTCCTGAATGCCTTTCTTCTTCCACCTCCATTTCCAAAGCCATATGGAGCTAAAATAGAGCATTTATAATACTTAAAAAGATAAAATAAAATCTGTGCTCAAAAGCATTTTGTATTAATTTTAAACAAAAGTAAAGTACTATCTCAGTTTTGACTTGCTCTACTAAGACCTTCCAAAGGAATAATCATCATCATAATCTTTGAGAAAATACTTATCTCTTGACTCCTTTGGAAATTACTTTTTCTCTTGCATTCACAGTAATACCAGCACTTAACTCTTCAACGACACTGCATGTGTATGTCTGTGATTGGATTCTTTATCTTCAGTTTGCTTCTGTTGTTAGTATGTGGTGTCCCGTGTCAATTTTTTTTTTGCCTGTGACCCACTTTCCAATTGAAAAGCATTTCAAGTCTAAAATGTTAAATTAAAATATGTTTAAAAAATAAAAATTTTTAAAAAAACAGAAGTAGCTTTCAACCGTGGCTGTAGAAGAGAAAAAAGGAACCTGTATTTGGCAGAAACCTTATGAGACTCATTACACTTAAGAATCATGTAAGATCAATTTTATTTCCTCCCATAATCTAGTAGGTCAAAACACGTATAACTTTGCAACACAAAACTTGAATTAATTTTCTTTCATCTCATGCCAACTTTAGGAATTAATCAAATGCATTGCATATGCTGCTGTTTAATGCTGCCCATCATGGCCCTAAAGGCTCTCTCAGCAGTGGTGCTCCCCTGCCTGACTGTCTCCACTTGTGCTATAGCTTGGGACTGTGCTTTCCCAGGTGCAAAACACGTGTATCTTTACTAAACTCTGCGTAATTCTTGTAGACTTTGGTCTTCCAGCCAACTTAGGCCTCTCTATGTAATATATTAGTAACTTCTATTTTCTGAAGTGGTGGATTTTTGGAATGATAGTTTTCAGCAGCAAAACATACATGGTTTTGGTGAGGGAAGAATTCTGTGCTGATTATAAGCAACACTCTGTTAAGTCATGGCACAGAGAAGTTAATCACTTCAGTGCTCTACTCTTTTGCTGATAAATAAGAAGATATTGCAAGAAGCTGTGTAGTAAAAAGCATAAGTACTATGCTAGTTAAACTAAAACCTTTTAGAGCTAATTATATACAAATGTTCATACAATACTGGAATATAAAATTCTATGTGTATGGTATTTAGCTAAGTTCAAAAATATTTTCTCTGCTTTGCAGTAGTGAGAGCTGTGCTTACATGTACATATATCAATATAATTGTTTTTTCACTACAATTCCTGCTGCAGAGTAGAATCAAGAGAGTCCTGTTGGAACATATTTTAAAATAATTCTAATTTTCTTTTCAGTTCAAGCTAAATGTGATGGATGTGATCTCTTTGCTTCAAATGAATATTTTTGTGATATGTAGCTAGTCTGTGATTTAGACAGATTGGTTCATCTGTTTAATATTAGTAACCAAAGTTCAAAACTCTTCGTTTGTATCCATTATGATTCACTATGTAATTTTTTTTTTCTCATCTATTCAGCTGATGTCAAACACTAGTACACAAGTTGGTCTTAGAAGAAAGTATGACCTTATTTGATTTAATTTGATTTGCTTATTCTGTGAATTAACAAACTGAAGGTAGGATATTGTTTTCTCTGTATATTTGCCAGATACGTTTCACATTCCTTCGTGATGCGTTAGTAAAACTGCAGAATTCAGCAATTAAACAAATGCTTGAAAAATCAAGAGAGATAGTTATCCAGACAGCTTTTTATTAAACAGGCTAATGCTTCAGGTTAGATGACCTTCAAGAAGCACCCTTGTGAAATTCTGCTAAATTTCTGGGTTACTCTTGATAAACCAGTCAAATGTAGACATGAGGAATTACATCTTTCAGAAGTATGCTGCTATGTCAGTTCATTTTGTGTGTGTGTGTAGGTATTTGTTTCTCTAATGTCACTCAACCTTTGTTCATCTGGTTACCTTTTCTCACCCAGCAAAGTAGAAAAACACTCAATCACATTTATTAGAAAAATAAAAGAGTGTGAAAAATGAGCAGATGTTAATTTTAGCTAGTAGAGGAATGTGTCTAAAGGTTTTGTTAAAGGAGTTTAAGTTGTAAACATTTCAGAAAAGTACTCATGATCTTTCTTCCAGACTGTTCTACCCATACTTGCTTGACATTTCTTCTGTGTTTCTAGATGATCCTCTTTTCCTCCACCATTCCCTGGTACAAATGGGGATACTAAGTATTGTAAAGGATGAATGTGGATTCCTATTGAGTAAAGATAAGTAAAATGATATTGCGGTGTTCAATTACCAGAAAATGTGTGAAAGCCACCCTCAGAGTGTCTACTAATCCTCTTAGTCAGGCTTCGCATACATCAAAGAGGGCCTTAATATTTAATTATGCTCTAGGTGCTCTAAGTAGTGGTGCCACAAATCAATGTGTTTCTGGGAAACAGGCCAGCTCTTACAAAATTAAAAATGTACTTCATGGAAGCAGCTACCTATCAAACAGTCAGAAACACAGCAATTTCCAGTTCTCTAATGATAAGTTAACAAAATTAAAAATTCAGTGGTCCTCATTTTTCAAAGGCTTGAGAGTCTTTAATTCACATTCCAGTAGCAACCTACCCTCCTGGAGGAAGAAGGCATGTGTTGTTTTAATCCCCTTGATGAATTTTATCTGAGCTCTTCAGGTTCTATAATTTTCTAGTTAACTGACGCATGAAAAATACGGGTCAAAATACCAACATTTTTGTACATTGCAAAAAATGTTGGGGGGGAGGCGAAAAATGTAGGCTAAGATGTTTACTTCAAAGTTTAGCTTTATCCATCCAAGATGGGAAATTATTTGTTTTTATGTAATATTAAAAAAATCTAGTCTGTAATGACTTGCAGCAAGTTAAAATATCAACAAGCACTGTGAGTGTATTTTGTCATTCGCTGCAGTGTCCAGTTAGGGAGAATCAGTTGCACTAACAAGAGTTAGAGCTTTTCCCCAGGAAGTTGAAGGCATTAGCAAAGGTTCTGTGCATAAAGCAAGTGTTAGTTTAAGACAAGAAGTTAACAATTGCGAAGCCTCTATAAGACACACCTTGTCTTTAAAAGATTGTTTAATTATTATGCAAATTGAAAATGTAATTACTGTTTGCATGCTACTTAAATGCAAATGGCTTTGTCATTTAGAGAAGGTAATCTCTTACCCTTCATATTATTATATTACTGGCATTTTTTCCATGTCTTGCGGGCTTGGAGAGCTGCTGAAGGCTAGGTGTTTTTAAAAATTGGAAAGGGTTTCTAATAAAAATTTGAGGTAGAAATGTTAGGACTCTTTATCTCTTATTTTTAAAATGTAACTTTGAAAAATTACTGGATTAATTTGTATTTCACGTGTACGTTCCCAATCCTACCTCTGCCATTTACTGATGTAGGCAATTTATGTATGTTAGATACAGTTTTTCTGTGTCTCAGCAACCTTTCTAATGTCTACATTAACATAATGACTTCCTGAAAACTTGTATATGGCTGTCACACTTCCTTTTTCTTTTTTTCTGGTTCTCTTTCCTGGTGTATGATAAATACGTTTCAGTTTACATAGAATTCCATGACTTCATAGAGAAAAAATTCAATAGAAATAGTACATTTTTAGCATTTATCCATTGCATGTACTTGTGTCAATTACATTTGAACATGAGTGTATGGAAAGCAGCCTGAGATGTGGGAAT